AAATGTAAACAATGGTTATCTGCTGCTGTGGAATGCAACAGGTGCATCTTTGATTGGTCTCACGTGGTTGTTTTTAATTAATGGTCAATCACAGTCAGCTGGCTCGGACTGCCTGGTCAGTCACAAGATTTTACTATTATTCCATTCCTTTCCTTGCTAGCTTTCTGATGAAATCCTTTCTTCTATTGTTTTAGTATAGTTTTAATATATCATTTTCTTTTAATATAATATATATCATAAAATAATAAATCAGCCTTCTGAAACATGGAGTCAGATGCTCATGTCTTCCCTCATCCTGGGACCCCTGCAAACACCATCACACCCCTGGGAGCAGCACTTGGATCCCCCCACAAAATCACACCTTGCTAAATCAGTGATGTTTTTTACAAGTCATCTGCTCACTGTGGCACTTCTGAAAAAACACAAGAGTGCAACTGGCAACCACAATTCACTACCTGAGGAACTCTTTTCTTGGCACAAACATAAACCCATCTCTGTTTACAGCCACGAGAATGACAACAAGTTCTGGTGTCTCAGAGGCTTTGTCCTGTTCTGTGTCACCACCCTGGGCACAGCAGCTCCCTGGCCTTGCTGTACATCACTCCTGCTTGGAAGATGGATGGAGGTTGTGCTGTTACTGCCAAAGCACAGCAAGAAAAGATGGGTGATTTAGTTGTATCCAATAAAGAATTCCATCAGTGCCTGGCCTTTCACTAGACTTCATTGAAACACCCACGTTCAGTCCCTGAAACACAGGAACTCCTCCAGCCCAGCAGCCTGCCGGGGTCACCTACCTGCAGTGGCACCTCTGGATCAAATTCAAACTGGGGGATGAGTTTAGACCAAGGCTCAAACTTCTTTGTTTCTGGATCAACGTAAAAGTCAAAGACTGTGCCGTGAGAAGGGAACTTGATTGTCTTGAATTCTGCCACCCACCACTTGCTGAACTCCACTCTGTAGTCCACGAGCTGCCAGATAAAGAGAGGAGAAATTAGACAAATCCAGAGAAATTATTAGAGATGGAGAATGTTATTTATCCCAGTCCACCAGAGTGGGATTAGTCCTTAAAAATATATTCCACAGCATAACAATCTTATCCTTTTTCCTATTATTAAGTCTAATTTTTCATTTTCTTCATTTTTTCTCATCACTCCTATTTATTCCCCTAAATAATTCATCCTGTGTGTTGATCACTCCTAGTATGTCTGCGATTAGACAGATGGATCAATTTGAAAAAGAGAAATACGTGCCTATGACTAAACAGACACTTGATTGATTTTTGGTGCCTACTTCTTCCAACAGACAAGGACACCACATCCATCTCCATCCGTGGCCATGGACAGTCAGAGCATGCATACCAAATCTCTTCCTCATAAATCACACCACCCTGCAAACACTTTGTTGTTGTTTTCTGGACTCTTTCCAAGTAGGAGCAGCAGACCCCAGTTCAGCAAAGAATGGGAGAGTGGTTGCTGGCACAGAGCCCAGCAAGCTCCTGCTTTCCTGCTTTTCCCCCTTCTATCCCTCCCTGCATGGAGATCTTCAAGCATCTGAACTTTTTCTTTTGGAGCTGGGGTGACAGTTTTTCCTTTAGACACTGAGTCAGGATGTGCAAAATGTGCTTAGTCCCCTTCTCTGCCTCAGGTCTCCTCTGTGAAACTGGGCCAGCCACTGTGTGAACCCTTCCCACGCAGAGCACAGGGACTGCAGCCCTCAGCCCTGGGGAGAAACAAAGGGGGAAGGAGGGGGAAAGTGCTGCTATAAAGATGTCTGGGAGAGAGCACACGCATCACTGAGCCAGTTTGAGCAGCACAGTTTGTTCCTGGGGCATCTCTATTAGATCTCTCCTCCCCATAGCCACCACAGAGGTTTTTGGGAGCAGGTGGGACCAGGGACTGCTCAGGCTCCCTCAGGAAACCTGGCTTTGAACTGAGTGTCCTCTGCAAATCTCCCCGAGCCACCACACATCAAAAGACCAGAGGATTTGAAAACCACATTATTAGCATCCAAGGTTTTGCAGTCTCGTGCTGCCCAGAGACGCAGAATGACTGTAATCTCCTTCCTCCTGCTGTCACAACTCCTCAGCCTGGCAGCAGAAAAGGGATGTGCAGCACTGCTAAAAGCTTTCTCACAGTGCTGCCTCGCCCTGCTCCCAGTGCTGGGAGGGGCTGAGCCCTTAAGTGGAGCAGTCCCAGCCCCAGCTCTATTGCCAGAATGGTGTCGAGCTCAAACTGCTTCCTTAACAAAAACCCCGTGTGGATTTCTGCTAATTTGAGGGCCTGGAAATGGCAAATCTATCATCTGCTTTTATAGAAAGGCCCCGCTCCCCACCAACAAACACCGAGCAGTGGGAAGCCTTCCAGCCTGTTTCTCCTGACATTTCAGCAGCAAAAGGTCACCAGGAAGGGCACCTTCAGCAGGGAGCAATAAACAGCTTTTATATTGGATCATTTTTCATCAGGCTCCCCCTCGCTCGGACGCCGTTTGCTCACGCTCTCCTGCCTGACATTTACAGAGCAGCAACGCCCAGAATCCTCCCAGAGGGATGCTGAGCCTGCTCCCAGCTCCTCCTGCCACACACCCAGCTGTGCCAAGGCCCTGCCATGCCAGGACTGGCTGCTGTGGCACAGGGATGCCATGTCCAAGTGCCACCAACCACGCTCCAGCCAGAGAGGGGCTGGAGGGAGTAGCTGGGCAAGGGCCAATTTCTGAATTAAACCATGCCCCCCAGGCTGTCACCCTGCACTGACAGAAGCAGGGCTGTGGTTTTCCCAGCTGGCACACAGGGAATGGAGGGTTAAATCCTCCAACAAGGACCTCGAGGTGATGGCACCAAGGGAGCACCAAGCTGGGCTTGGTCATTCTCCATTGTTACCACCTGGATAATGAGGCCTTTCATGAAAGGGATTGTTGAGTTCAGGTTTCCAGGTCAAACTGCAGCACTGATACAGCTTCAGGTCTGGGAAAGTAGAAAAAAATAGGGAAAAAAAGGCAATAAAAGGTCTCTTGAAAGTTTCTGATCTTCACATTTCTTACCTGGTCCTGGAACATGGAGCCACCAAAGGCCCAGACAGCAGCAAAGACAAAGTAAAGTTCATAAAGCTCCTTGGGACAATCTGGAGGGGTGTTGTCCTCTGTCAGGAGGCATTCCAGCAGGTAACACAGCATCTGAACCATACTCTGCTCAGGAATGGGAATAATCTTCTTAAATCTGAGGGATGGAAATGGAAAATATAATTGGGAAATATAACTGGGTGAAGCACCAGGGCTGCTCCCAGCCCAGGAAAGCAAGGCAGGAATGCTTTGGCAGAATATCAGCATTTTCCTTGTCAGCAGGAAGAAGAGAACACCCATCCTCTGCCTGGCCCTGCTGGCACTGGCACACACAGACATAATAACAGTAATCAGAAGTTCCAGGCATTTAAAAACTTTGATCCTCTTGAAAGAAGTAAAATGGAGGAGTTGCTGAAGGCGATGATTTCCTGGGAGCGCCAGGAGTTCAAAAGCGGTCAAATAGAGGAGTAATAAAATAAAACCTTTCATCTTGCCATTTTACATTCGTTTAAGCTACACTTACAGAATTCCAAACTAATATTGTAGCAGCACTGAAGTCCTCCATAAAGTAATTAGAGCTATTTGAAAGGTTGGTCCTACAATTTCTGAATTAAGCAAGCTACCAAAATACTCAGCTCGGGGCTGGTGCAGCTAATCCTGGGGATTTCATGGGCTGACAATTGCTCAGCACAGAGAGCTGGAGATGCTTGATGGGCTTTGCTGCCAACAGCTTTAAAGTTTGGACTCCCAGAGAGCAGCTCCCCAGCAAGATTCCCAGCTCCCAGTCCCAAAGAGCAAGACTTGCACTCAAGCAGTTCCTCCTGACACCTCTTCGTTGGGGCTGATGGTGCCCAGGTTCAGTTGTTCACTGACTTTTGTTCTTTTAATTTTTTTTAATGAAATTGCAGGTATGGGTATTATAAAAATATAATATGTTGTGATATATTATATATAATCTAATATAATGATAATAATTCTATTATATATATCAATATAATTATAATAAGCATAATTATAATAAACATAATAAGCATAATGAATATAACACATTTGATATTATATTATATATAAATAATACAATACAATACATCAGCCTTCTGAAAACAAGGAGTCAATTCTCATCTCTCACCTCATCCTGGGGATCCTCACAAACACCACAACAATTAATAACCACAACCCCCTGCCCTCTGGAGGGGACACAGGCAGCCTGCAGGGGTACCTGGCTCTCAGGGTGTCCAGGCACACGGGCAGGTATTTGTCAAACAGAATGGTCAGGTTGGCCCTCTCCGACTGCACCTCCCGCCGGTCAATCCAGCTGCTCACAGGGGCATTCCATCCCAGGTCTGAGGGGTTGATGTACAGGATCCCTTGAGGTGCAGGAGAAGAGACAAGGGTAAGGACACAGCATGGGCTCTCCCTTTTTTCACCAGGAACTTTCAGCTACTCTCTGAAACAACTGAAACCCTGTCAAATACACTTGGTCCCTCATTAACCGAAACAACAGAAACCCTGTCAAATGCACCTAGTCTCTCACTACCTGCCCCCTCCTCCTGCCCCACTGCAGAGGAGAAACATTCACAGGGAAGAGACGTAACTCAGGAAATTCTCAGGACCCTGCCCCAAATTGGGAACATGGTGTTGCCTGAGCCCTGTTAATGCTCTGGGCACCAGACACCAGGGAACACCTTCATTCCCCTTCCCATGCATTGCTCCAAAAGCTCTTTGGGACAGAGGCTGCTCTCTCCTCATCAGGCACACACAGAGCTGTGCAGGAGAGTTCTCTCAGCAGTGCTGCAGCCACAGCAGCAGTGGCAACACTCTGAGTAAACCCCCCAGATGATGACAGACCACAAGTGGGGCTGGGCTCAGGATCCTCCCAGGTCTGTGAGCTTCAGGAACACCCCCTGCACACCACAGGCAGCTGTGCTCCTAGCCTGGCAGCTTTCACAGAATCACAGAATCACCAGGTTGGGAGAGACCTTCAAGATCACTGAGTCCAACCCAGCCCCAACACCTCAACTAAACCCTGGCACCCAGTGCCACATCCAGGCTTTGTTAAACACACCCAGGGATGGTGACTCCACCACCTCCCTGGGCAGCCATTCCAGAACTTTATCACCCTTTCAGTAAAAATATTTTTCCTAATATCCAACCTATATTTCCTTTAAGGCTGGCCAACAAAGGGCTGCAAAGAGCCCCAGGTGCAGCCCAGCAGGACCCACCTGCCCGGGACACGGTGGCCGGGGTGGCTGTGCGCAGGTGGCTGATCTCAAACAGCAGCCTCATTGTGGGGTTCAGAGGGATCCTCTCGTTGCTGGCCAGGGTCAGCACCTGCAGACAGACAGACAGACAGCTGAAGCTCTGCCAGGAACAGGAATGAAGAGTGTTTAGCACTTGGCACTGCTGGGCTTGGCTGCCCAGCCCAAGCACAGCAGCAAAGGTCTGCAGACCCAGCAGGACAAGGGGGGATTCTGCCCCTCTGCCCCATCCAGGCCAGACTCCACCTGCAGAGCTGCCCCAGCCCTGGGCTCAGCACAGCGAGGAGCTGGAGCTGCCGGAGAGAGCCCACAGGAGGCACCAGGACCAGCAGAGGGATGGAGCAGGATGCCAGGACATGATTTCTGACAGGCAAAGAATGCTCCTTCTCTCTTCCACAAATCCAAAGCCCTTCCTCAGAGTGGGGAAAAGACAGAATTATGTACCTACCCTACTTCTAAAGGGCCTGAAATTATGATCAGGACATTTGCAATTACTCACATGCACGCCTCTCCAGAAAAGGGAAATTCCAATGAAAATAAGTTTTATTTCCCTCATGCACCATTGCCTTTATGCAATATTGTTTGGTGTGTCTGAGGAAACACAGCTGCGTTATTCCAGGAGATGTTATTACAATCTGCATTTCTCCCAGGCTGAATCACCCCCGACAAGGAATACCTGCTTCTTTACCTGACATCCATTACCTTATTATCATCCATCACAGTGTTCAGAGATTCAATCCACATTGGATCAATATCTCCATCTAGTACCATCCACTTGGGACCATCATGTGAGATGTTGGCCAGCTCTCTCATGATTGATGAAAACAGTCCTGGGAGGGTGACATGAATATGTTGATGAACATTGAAGTTGTCACCTGCTCTAACAGATTTTTCCAGCAGTTTCCTAAAAATTATGCTGTCCCCTTTATACATTCATAACTCTTTGCATCTGGACATAAATAATACTGTATAATGAGATCTGCTTTGAAGAGAAAAAAATATTATCAGAGTTATTATCACTGAGAATTACTGTGGGCCTACATGAGCTTCATTCCCACTAAAAACCATAAGACATAGGAAAAATTAAGAGCAGGTACTCAGAGAAAACAAACCCCATAAACTACACAATGCAGAGAAAACTATTTGAATATGCCTTGGAAATTCTTATATTTGGGTTTTGTTTCCTGTGGTTTGAAGTATATCAGGAAAATCAAGATGCTTTAAACACGGGGTCATTGCTTTAGTGAGACTGAGGGGAGAACAAGCCCAGACTGACATTGAGTGACAGAACTAAATGTCAGTAAAATCAAGGAGACAGAGAATATACAGAATCTCAAGGGGAGTAAATAATGAATGCTAAGAAGAGTGAGAAGCTGGGAACAGAGAAGAAGTACTGCAGGGCAAATGAGAGCTCCACAAAACCATCACTCTCCTCCACACGAGGAAATACCTAGGGAAAGGCTGGTCTGCATGAAGGAACATCAGGCAAGCATTAAAAGCAGCCTCTCTCCTGGAGAATTGTGACAGGCATGCTTTTTGTTTCTCCAGAACCAGCTATTCCCTCGGGATGCAGGTCAGGAGCCGCCGATGGCACTGCACGACCCAAGAAAAGCTTGTGCAGAACAGCTCAGCCACACAGCTACAGGGGGGGTCACAGATAAATAACACCTCCCTGGCTCTGCCTGGGCTCCATTCCTCACGCTGGACAGAGCTTGGAAACCTCTCCAGCCCTGCCAGTGCCAGCAGCAGCTCCTGCCTGGGAGCATCACAGCCATGGCAGCAGCAGGAGGGAAGTGCCCCTCTCCCAACCTTGGGCATCCACACCATAGAGGGGTCTTGGGATTTGAAAGGAGAGTTTGGATCTAAAAATAACACTTTTAGGATTCCCTTGTGGGGCCTTTTTCCACCTAACATGTGCAAACTTCCCAGCTGGTGGCAGAAATGAGTGACAGGATGAACTCGGGAAGAGAAGGAGGAGGAGCTGATCCATAAGGGGACACATCATCTCCTGTCAGGCTGTGCTGAAAATGGCCTGGCTGCTCTTTGGCACCAAGAAACAACATTTCCAGGAATGGTTAATGCAGAAATATCTGCCTTGAGCCATCAGAGAGGAGCCCTGTAAGTTCTCTTGAAGCATTAGAGGATTTAGAACACTGGACAGCCACCTGCCAATGTCCCTCCTGCTGTCCAGTGCCACCCACAGCCCCTGATCCACAATCCCCAATGTGCAGCTCTCTCTGCAGAGGGTTGGCTACATCCCACACTTCCCTCTGTCACTTTGATTTAGGGTGCCCAATCACAATTAAAAAGAAATTAACCCTGGCACTGGAGCGGAGCAGGGGGCAGGAGGGGTGGTGGCAGGGGAGGTGGTGGCAGCTCCTTCTCCTGGAGACCTCGGGCCGAGGATGATTTATGGAGCTGTCCTCCCTCACCTCCCCCTCAGCTCCCAGGGAATCAAAGCTGCCTTTCTGGATTAGTCACAAGCCAACGTTTGCACTTTGCATCTCTCTAATCTTTCAGCAGGTCTAAATGCTCATCTCATCCTCCTCAGGAGCAATCAGGATCAACAGCCTGGCAAACACCGTGTGCTGGAGATCAGGCAGGGATATTCAGAGGAAAAACACCTCTCAAATGCTGCTGGGAGTGTCCAGCCATAGAAACCTGGAAATAACAATTTTTGGGGGGCCCCAGTGCACAGCACAGGGCAGGAGGGAATTCTCTCCCATCAGCAGCCCAGCCCCAAAAAACAACCTGCTTTAACTAGGAATTGGGAAGCACTGGTGTTAACGAACATAATGATTATCCTAATGGCAAAAAGATAAATTCCCAAAAAGCTGTGACACCCTACATGTCCTTCCAACAGCAAACCTTCACACAGCTGGGAGTAGCACCTGGGCTGTGAGACCTGCACACAGAGACCCATCATCCACTCAGGCGCTTCATTACAAATATCCTTTTATCTCCAAATTCAGCCCCCAAAGGACATTTACCATCTCTCCACTCCCTGGTTGCTGGGTTAATGACGCCGAAGAGCTCATCATTGGTGACTGCTTTGGGGTTGAGGTCTGCCCACACGGGCCGGCGCTTCATCCTCTGGTAGGTTTTGTGCAGGGACCTCAGCACCTGGGACTTGCCTGTGCCTGCAGCCCCCACCACGAACACGGAGTGCCGGACACTGAGCAGCTCCTCCAGCTGCACCACCTGGGGAAACACCCCCAGAGATCAGACATGCCAAACTGAAGTTCAAATGTGCAAAATCTAAAGGGAAAGTGTCCCTGTCCATGGCTTAGGGTTGGAATAAAGTGTCCTTTATGGTTCTTTCCAACCCAAATCATTCTGTGAAATTAGCTCCCACTGGGTCACAAATTTCTATACAACAGCCCCAGACACACAAATGGATTTTGAGAATACCCATCTGAGCTGATGATGGTGCAGATAGAGAAGTATCACCATGATATTTTATGAAAAATCCCTTCACTGGGATTTTTTTTTCTCCTGGGAAACTTCAGCTTCTCCCTGTTTTGCTCCTCTGGAATGTGATTTGGAGAATTGTTTACCCAGAATGTGAATTGTTTTTACTTAATGATGAATCCCAGTCCAGCTGTATTGGACTCTCTGGTCAGTCACAGGTTTTTATTATTCATTCTTTTCCAGCTTTCTGATGTATCCTTTCTCTTTCTTTAGTATAGTTTTAGTATATAATAGTATATAATTTCTATAATACATAATAAATAATATGCTATAAAATATTATATATTATATAATGTATAAAATGTAATGTAATGTGTAATGTGTAACGTGTAATGTGTAATGTGTAATGTAAAGTAAAATAAAGTGAAGTAATGTAATGTAGTATATAAATTATATTATAAAATAATAAATCAGCCTTATGAGAACAAGGAGTCAAATTCTCATCTCTCACCTCCTCCTGGGGACCCTCACACCACCCCAACAGAGCAGAAAACCCCTTGGCCTTACTTTGAGCACAAAGTTGTCCTCGGGCTGCAGCCGCAGCTCCAGCACAGCCTCCTTCACCATGGCCTCGAAATCCAGGTCGCGCTTCCGAGGCACGTCCAGGGCAGGGAACAGGTCCCCAATCAGCCCCATGAACACTGGAACATCGTCTGTCACGATTTTGGGGATGTTGAAGTCGCGGAGGGAGCGCATCAGGACCTGCTCCTCAGGCCGCTCAGGGTCCGCACGCTTCAGGGAGCCTGCCACCACCAGCACTGACTTGATGGCCCGCAGACCCCAGTCATAGTGGTCCTATGTGAGGGGGGAGAAAGAAAGAAATAAAAACAGGGGTGAGTTTATGCCCAGGCAGAGGTAAAAACCAACAGTCCCAGCTGCCAGAGCAGTCAGCAATGGAAATGCAGCCAAATTTGTTATTTGTGTCGTGGGCAGAGAACTCCATCAGCCTAAGTCTCCATTTCACAAGGCGAGCTTCCCACCAGGGAGAGCACTAAGGAGCCAAATAATTCAGCTGTTCATGCCATCACATGGGCTCAGAGCTGGCACTAAGTCAGCAGCAGGACTTGCACTCTGGAGACCTAAGGAATTTTTCCCCCTAAACCCTAAAACCTTGGCCTTTGTGCAAGTTAAGCAAGGCCTGTCAGAGCCCTGGCTCTGCAGGAGTTGCTGAGGTGAAAGGCTTGCTAGTCCATTCTGAGACAGCCAAATTTCTCCCTCACCAGGTTACCAGGGACATTTGGTCTTGGGGACAGTTCACCAAACAGGGGCAGGGAGGACACTGCTGGAAAGGAATCCTCAAGGAATCCAACAAGTAAATCCTTCTATCTGTGCTCCATTGAGACCCTGCAGAGCACAGCCCAACAGCTTGACTGCTTTGTGTGGGAGGCCAAAGCTCCCACAGGGCCTCCAGCTTCACAGCACAAAGTTTCTGTGAGAAGGCAGAAACCCACCCCAGCTCATGTTGGCACAGGCAAGATCAGGTTTTCCATCTGGAGTCCTGATTCAACTCACCCCAGCTTTGATCTATGCAGACAATGCCAAGTTAAAATCTGATTAACCAAGGTTTTGCACTGGAAGTGACTTTACATAGTCAACAGTTGACATGACAGAGAAGTATTGAGTTGGACTAAGAGAGGAACAGTCATCATGAACCCCTTGCAGGCAGGAGAATCAATAGGAACTTTTTAAGAGAAAAAGCAAAGCGTCACTGAATACTGCCCCAATCATGGTGGCATTTGAGGCTTTTGAAAAATCTCTCCAATTCAAAAACTAGTGAGGTTAATGCAGTTGGTCAAATGCTTCTGTCCCTGAAGATCCTCCAGGAGAGCAGTTTGAAAATATCATTGTAGAATGTCACATCCCTGATTTTGAGTATCCAGAGCAGAATGTCACATTCCTGATTTTGGAGGAACTATAGCAGAGTGTCACATTCTTGATTTTGGGGATTCAGAACAGTGTCACATCCCTGATTTTGGGGATTCAGAGCTCATCAGAGGGCTCACCTGCTTGGACAGGAGCTCCTTGCAGAGTTGGTAGAGTGTGATGAATTTCCTGGCCAAGGCCCGGGCCTGGAGGAAGCCCTCAGCCACCAACATAATCTCACAGATCAGCTCAAAATCTGGCACAACCATGGCACAGGGCCTAGGGAGACAGGCAGGAAAGGATTGCAGAGCAAACATTAACTACAGAGCTCGAGAGCAGTGGATTTGTAGCTTTATCTTCCAGGTCCTCTCCAGTGAGCTACTGGAGACTCTCCCAGTCTGCCCACAGTGCCTTTCCCATGGCACAGGACAGAGCTCCTTTGTCCTCCCTGCATTCCCTCATCCAGGCTTGGTGCACAAGGCTGAAACCATCTGTGAATCCCCAATGCCAGTGAATTTCCCAACAAAATGAAGTCTGGAAGTTCCAAAAGACAATTTCTGCCAGTTTTATCAAACAAGTCACAAAACCTGACCTCAACTCACCTGAAGAGAGCTTTTAAATTCTCAGGTAGCTCGGTTCGTCCTGCATAACCAGGGTTCATGGTGATGAAAATCCCAACTGAGGGGACTAAGTTAATGTCTTCTCCAAGAAAATTGAAGGATTTCTTCTTCTCCCGGATGGCATCCTGCACACTCTTCACCTGGGGACCACAGCAGTGCTCAGTGCTGGTGTTCAGCTATGAAAACCCTCAGACAGCCCTGCTGTCCTCCCTGCTCTCGGCCCATGATGAGTGGGGATTATCACTGCTCTGGTCTGGGTTTTTACTGACCACATAAAGCTTTCTGCACTGTTTGGGGTAAATCTGGGTGTCTCCCATCACAATCCAACTCTGACAAAGCAGAAAATGGCTGAAGAGACTGGACAGTCAAACTGAAAAGAGTTCCAAGAGTTTGCTTCATAAGACACTTGGCTGGTCTTTTCTACCTGTCTGATCACAGCTTTGTTCTTCTCATCCCCCACTTTCCAAAGAGCTCCATTACAGCCAAACCACCTTCCATTCCCATGGAGTGAGTCACAGAATCCCAGAATGACCAGATTGGAAGAGACCTTTCAGATTGAGTCCAACCGAGCCCCAGCACCTCAGCTAAACCCTGGCACCCAGGGCCACATCCAATATTTTGTTAAGCAAACCCAGGGATGGTGGCTCCCCCACCTCCCCAGGCAGATCATTCCAATACTTTATCACTCTTCCTGTAAAAAACTGTTGCTATAGGACACAAAATAATATTGTGGACACGCAGCTCTCCAAGGTAAAAAAGAGCACTTTTAATTTCTGACTCCAACATTTATAGATTTCCAAAAGTGACAGTGGATTGGAGGGTGACAGTGCCACCTCTGCAATGACACTGGACAAACCAACAATCCATCAAATTTCTCCTCCTCCATAAAAGAATGCAAAACAATAAGTTATTAACATAAAGTGCACAAGAAAGTTCATTACAAGAATAGAAACATCACAAGGCTTAGAAAATCTTAAAAATCAGGGCAAAGAAAAAGTGCTTTCCAAAAGAGCAAACACAGCCAGGCCACCCTACTGCCCACCTTCCATTCCACCACCTCACTGCCCACCTCCCATTCCGAGTCCGTTACAGCCAGACCCTCCTTCCCCACTTCCCAAGGGAGCAGCTCCTAACACCACTTCATCAGGGAGGAATCTATCTCTGCCCTAAATTCACCCATTTGCCACTTTAAAGCAAAGCAATTAAGGGAGTTTCTCAGCGTAAGGACCCACATCGACAGGAGCTGCATGACTAAGGCAGCCAATTAACCATCACCATGGTTACCCTCTAATAGCAGCAGAGGCGATGATGGAGTGACAGCCCTGCTGCTCAGACACCACGCTCCAGCCAGGAGCCAGGGAATCATTAGCAGCTGAGTCATATCTGGGCTTCTTTTGTTCAGCTTCCCCTTTTATTTTAAGATCCTCAAAGGCGTTTTTCAATGACAACTTTAAGCTAGAACCTGATGGAAGGGAAGTGGAGAGGGAAGGACATGCAAACACCTGTACCTGCCTGGGATTTCTTTGGGACATCAGAGGAGGTACAATGATGAGACAAAGAGGGATGAAAGTGAGGAGTTCGTGGAGGGGTTCAGAACAATCCCTTTGACCAAGACATTTGCAGAAGTGTAGAAACTTCTGGGCTGTAGACCTTAATTTCTGCAATGCCAAGCCCCAAAATGGGTCTAGTATGAATTCAGCACCTCAGTCAAACAATGGGATCCCAAAACCTGCACTCACAGCTGACACTGGGGACCAGAAGAACTTTGAAATTTTAGCAACTCAGTTTTCAGCACTGAAGTTCCCCAAGACTCAAATCCTTCTGTTCTGGTCCTGTGGGAGTGAGGGAAGGAAGGCTGGCTTGTATTTATCCACAAGCTTTTCTCCACTTACCTGTACAGCAACCACAGAAAGGACTTCAACTGAGATCCTGTTAAATTCATCAAAACAGCCCCAGGCTCCTGTCTGGGAAAGGCCTTTGTAAATATTCCCACAAGACTGAAAAGAAAAAAAATAAAATAAAATTACAAGAGTGAAATCACAAACAGAATCTACTCCAGCAAAAATTGGATTTGATTTCCCTGCCTGTTTATTTATAGCAATTTACAGTCTATTGTGGGTATTTAGAAAGGACAGGAGAGCAGCAGGCACAACTCAATTATAATATTTATGGCTCTGCACAGTTTGCTACTTGATTTGCTAATTGCCCTCTCTAGACATCTCTGCACTCTGGTTCCATCCAAAGGTCACCTGGGCTGAGTTACTGATGGCCCCATGTCCATGAGAGACCTCAGCTGGATAAAATATGGTCCAAGGCCACCAAAGCCAGTGTCCCTGGAGAGCACAGGGATCAGCACCATGACCAGAGCTGGCCTTGTCCCAGCAGAGGATCCTGAGGAACCAGGAGAGCTCTGTCCCCACACCTGGGACAGGTGTTCTGTGGGTCTGGAGAGAGGGAATGGATCAGCATAGCCTCTGTCTCCACTGAACAGGGCAGAATTTGTGAAGAATTTCATGTGGAATCTAACTCCAGAAGAGAAGAGAAAGGTGGAGCAGGGCAGAAAGCACAGCTCAGTTCTGCTCCTCAAGAACTTTGTGCAAGTCTCAGAGACAAAAAGAAGGAGGAGCATGAAAAGCTGCTCAGCAGGAAGGGAGGCAGCGGGGATGAGAGGAGAAGGGATGGATCAGAGCAAGCCCAGCTGGATAACTCCCACTCTGCAGGTTCCAGGGGCCCTGAGCAGCCCCAGTTTGGGGAGAGAAGCACTGTGGTGTTGTGAGGTTTTTAGGACAAGGTGAGATGAGAATTTGACTTCATGTTTTCAGAAGGTTGGTTTATTATTTCATGATAATATTATATTATACTATATTATACTATACTGTATTATACTATGATATTATATACTATAATATTATTTACTATAATATATTATACTATAAATTATATTATATTGTAAAACTATACTAAAGATAGAGAAAGGATATATCAGAAGGCAAGAAAGGAATGAATAATAAAAACCTGTGACTGACTCAGACAGTCTGACACAGCTGGCTGTGATTGTTTATCCAAACACGTAAATTATTTTTAACTAATAGCCAATTTACAGACCACATTCCAGAAGTGCAAAACATAGAGAAGCTCAGGCTTCTTATCTTCCTAGGAGAAAAAATCCTGATGAAGGGATTTTTCAGAAAGTTTTAGGGTAACACAGCACCTTGTAGTCCATCTGCTCGGAGCAGTTGAACACGTAGACCATGATGCCCAGGGCACGGCCTAGGTCCTTGGTGGTCTCTGTCTTGCCAGTGCCAGCAGGGCCTGCAGGAGCTCCACTCATGGTCAGGTGCAGGGACTGGGTCAGGGTGATGTAACACCTGCACAGAATGAGGGAAAAGGGGAAAGAGACTGAGCTGGGTCAGAGGAATGGCAGATTTGTCTTTACAAACAAGCTTTACAAGAATAAAGCTTATCTCTAACTAAAATCTTAGCTCCTCTAAAATCTCTAAATTCCTTAAAGATTATGTCTCATTGTGGTGGTGTTCACAGGGGTCTCATGATGAGGGAAGAGATGAGAATCTTGACTCCATGTTTCAGAAGGCTGATTTATTATTTTATTATATATATTATATTAAAAGAAAATTATATATTAAACTATACTAAAAGAATAGAAGAAAGGATTTCATCAGAAGGCTTGAAAGGAATAGAAAGGAATGATAATAAAATCTTGTGACTGACCAGAGAGTCCGAGACAGCTGGACTGTGATTGGCCATTAATTAAAAACAACCACATGAGACCAATCAAAGATGCACCTGTTGCATTCCACAGCAGCAGATAATCACTGTTTATATTTCATTTCTGAGGCCTCTCAGGAGAAAAAATCCTAATGAAAGGATTTTTCATAAAAGATGTCCATGACATCTCCTAACCACCACCTGAGGTGGCACCACCAGGGTCTCACCTGTCGGTCAGGGGGGTGATGACCAGCCGGGGGGTGTTGCCCAGGTACTCATAGCAGTAGAGGAACTGAGCATCACAGATGTTGACCCAGCAGTGCCGCTCCTCGTCCGACCAGCGGTGCCGCAGCTGCGCCAGCCACATGAAGGCCTGGCCAGTGTCCACCTGCAGAAGGACACCAGGGAGGCCAGGGGTGGTGCTTTAAGGTCTGGCTGTCATGTTTTTCAGATTCTGTGCTGCCTAGGTGTGTAGCTCTGAGCTTTGTGTTAAGTGTTAGTAGGTTTTCTTTACAAAAATAATCCTTTTCCAGCTTGGGTCCAAGGAAAATCGATAGAAGCTTCAGGCCCAAAATGCATAAACAATGGGGAACTGAGAGAGCAAACAAGGAGGATGGGACTTCATGACCTGGAGCTGTAACTGGACAATTAACCCCAATATGGAAATGGACCAAAACTCATAAAAGTGTGAAAACTCATGACTGGGATCCATCTTGGGTGTAGCCATGGCTAGGCTCTTACACTGCCCAAGATGTATCCCTTAAAGATCTTTAAATAAATCCTCACTTTATTCTTTTAACTCTGCCTAGTCTCTGTTCCTGGTCAGCCTCTCTAGGCATCAGTTCTGGCACCCCAGATGGGACAGAAGGCATCTGGAAAACCTCTGGAGCAGAGGAACACCCACCTCCTGCCCCCTACTCCTGCCAGCACTGCCAGGGGAGCCCAGAAGGTATCAGAGCCAAAGGCCAGGCTGGGCAGGGCTTGGAGCACTCTGAGATGGCAGAAGGTGTCACTGTTCGTGGCAGGGGTTGGAATGAGAAGAGCTTTAAGGTCCCTTCCAACCCAAAACATTCTGGGAGTATGTGATGGCAGGCAGTGTGGGAGTGGTGGACAAATCCCAAGGGATTCCCTGTGGGCCCACACCAGAGCAAGAAAGCTACAGAAAAGAAAAATCCAAATGCTTTTTCTTATGGCCCTGCTGAGGCAGGCAGTGCCCCCAGTGCCTGTCTCTGGTCTGTCCCTCCACAATCTCCCCCTCAAAGCCCAGCATGGCTCACACTGAGCTGGGAGCACCAACCTTCTGTGCTATCATCTTGGCCACCACGTCCCGCGCGTGCACGTCGATGGTGCAGATGGTCATAATCTTCTGCCTGTCGCCCCTGGAGAGCTGCCCCAGCAGCATGGTCACCAGCACATTCAGCTGGGCCACCTGCTTCTTGTGGTACTCCTTCATGGCCTTCTCATAGCCTTCCTTCATCCTGGAGAAGGCCATGCCCACCTCAGCTGTCCACCAGATCTGGGTGCAGCAGAGAGCCACCTGAGGAAACAGAGTGGCTCAACAGCAAGGCAACACCAGGCTTTTCTTACCTCTGAGAGGGTCTGGGCTATGGGGAGGTCAGGGATGAGGCATCTCTGATGTGAAATGAAATTTTGCTGTACAGTATCACAGCAGGAAGGAGAGCAGGAATCCATTTTACATCCATTGAAATTGAAATTCCCATCAGTGACAGACACAATTAGCAGCTGCTTTTTCAGTAAATGAGCTCCTTTCTCATGTCTGAACACATGGGAGACTGCCAGAGGGGCTCCTTCCCCTAGTCAGGCCCCATCAATTTGTTCTCTCACCCCACTGGGGGTAGGGGCTTGCTGTGACCCAGAGCTCAGTCTGGGCACCCATCAAGAGATGGCCAGGAGAAAGGAGAACCGACCTGATACCTTAGCTTTTAGGTTTTTCTGTTCTTTGGTGTGCAGCTTTAGTTTTATATTATAGTTTTACTGGGATCTTTTCACAGGAGAGACAAAGCAATGGTGGAGACAAAGCAATCCCATTCTATCCAGAGACTCAAGGACAATCTCTTCAAACTTCAGGCCCAAAGCATAAAGAATGCAAGAAGAGGATGGGCAAGCAAGCAAGGAGGATGAAACTTCATGATTTCAAGCTATTAATTGGGCAGTTGAATCCTATATGCAAATGGACTAAGATTTATACAAATGTGAGATCTCATGATCGAGCCCTCTTTTGCTTCCATCTTGGAACCATCTGGGCGCTGCCAGGGTGTGGCCTTTGAAGGCCCCTCAATAAATCTCCCCTTTATTCCTCTTAACTCCTCAAGGAACCACACCCTTCCTCTCTCCCGTGGACAGAACCACTCCCATACACAGCCCAGACCCCTCTGGAAGCAGGGCAGGGGCAGTACCTGGGCAGGGTGGTCAAAGAGCCACTGCTCCCTGGGCTTGTCCTCATAGGCCGCCACAGCTGCGCACATCCCGTCCCTCACCGTGGCCCTCATAGCGTCCAGCAGGCGAGTGAGCCACACCTCCACCTGCAGAAGGGGTTAAATCCCAGAACAGGCCTGCTTCTCACCCCTGGATGATGAGGAATGATTCCAGAACACGCCTGCCATCCCTCAGCAATGAGGGGGACAAGCAGCTCAGATCTCCAGTCAAACAAGCCCCAGGCCTCTTCCAGACTGGAGAACTCAGCCATTTCTGCTCCTGCAAGATCAGCATCTCCTCACAGAGAGGTTTTTTTGTGGAAATCCAGCTGGAGGAGGAACCACACTGAACTCCACTGAGGACTGAGGAGCAATTGAGCTCAGCGTGTTCCAGCTCCAGGCCATGGCAGAGTCACTCGTGGGACTGGAGCACAATCTGCCAGCAGCAAGAGAATGCTGGGAACACAATTCCTGCTGAATTTAGTATTTCACAATTCCTGCTGAATTTAGTATTTAGTATTTCAGAGAGGAGAGTTGAAATGCCAAGTGCCATCACCAGGGAGCTCAGAGCTGGTATTACCTACTTTAGCTTCCTTTAACAGTCCATGGAGGAAAGTGCAGCTACAGGGACGGAAAAGCTGAGCAGTAATTTGATTCTTAAATTTTGTACTTTAACTTGTCCCATGAAATAAGATTTGGAAAACAGGGGGAAAACCCTTTTATTTCCAAAGGTATACTGGCAGAAATACTTTGGAATAATTTAATCTGTTTTCAGTCTGCATCCTCTCCCAATGGGGAGGGTAAGAGTAACCTTCAGAATATCTCTCAGGAATTAAAATTAAAAAGCCCAGTAAAGAATAGGCCACAGCCCTTCCTCACACCATGGGCTGTGAGGACCCATCCAGAGCAGGACTAGGGCTGTGGTGTAAGCAAGGATTAAGTTCCACACCACCTCTTCCAGCTTTTCCCACGGAGGCAACGCAGTGGAACTCTACAAGACCTTGGCTGTTACTGTCATATTTTCTGAAAAATTTCTTCACCAGGGATTTTTCTTCTCCTGGGAAGCTGAGAAACCACAGAGAAAAATGAAAGCAATAATTATCTGATTTGCTTCTCCTGTGTTTTGCTGCTTTGGAATGTGTTTGGAGATTATTTAAAAACATTTGAATTGTTTTTACTTAATGACCAATCATGGCCCAGCTGTGTCAGGAGTCTAGAAAGTCAAAAGTTTTTCATTGTTGTCTGGTTAAGCTTTCTGTAAGCATCCTTTCTCTATTCTTTAGTATAGTTTTAATATAGTATTGTTTTATAGAATATCATATCATAAAATAATAAATTAACCTTCTAAAAACATAATCAAATTCATCTTTCCTTCCCACACTGGGGGACCCCAAAAATACCACAGTGGGCCAGGGATGCCCACCCAAGGGGGGTGGGAGCAAGTTCCACCAGGCAGCTTGGACAGGCAAGGTCTCCCCTCTTACCTGCCCACTGCAGTCACAGGGTTCACTGAACTGGACATATTCCTCCTCTCTGCTGTACATTCCCAGGCCAACCTTGGTTGTCTTCTCATCAGAGTTCACCTGGAATTTCAGCCTGGCCAAGTTGTCAAAGAGTTTGGAAAGGTGACGCTGCACCTGCCAAAGGGATTGTGTAAATGAAGTGGGGGGGACAGGACACAGAATCACAGAATGATGAGGTTGGAAGAAACCTCTAAGACCATCGAGTTCAACCCAGCCCTAATACTCAACTAGACCATAGCACCAAGTGCCATGTCCAGTCTTTTTTTAAACACACCCAGAGATGGTGATTCCACCACCTTCCTGGGAAAAGCATTACAGTACTTTATTATTCTTTTGGTGAAAAATTTCCTCCTAATATCCAACCTGTACCTTCCCTGACGTAGCTGGAGACTGTGTCCTCTGGTTCTGTCAGAGACCAACCCCACCTGTCCACAACCTCCCTTCAGGAAGGTGTAGAGAGCAATATGGTCACCTCTGAGCCTCCTCTTCTCCAGGCTAAACAGCCCCACTCCAGCCCCTTCAAACATTCATCACAGGGTTTGTGTTCCCAGCCCCTCACCAGCCTCGTTGCCTCCTCTGGATGTGCTCAAGCATCTCAACATCCCTCCCAAACTGAGGGGCCAGAGCTGGACACAGCACTCAAGATCAAGGACCAGAACAGGCAGAGAAGAGAGCAGCAGAGGTGTAACAGCCACAGTCCTGCTCACAAAGAATAACCTGGACATCTTGGCAGCACCACATCTTCTCGCTCATGGCCATGATGCTGCTGACAGGAGCCTCTTGCTGTCCTTCTCAGGAGCTGGATTTGATGATCCTGGTGGGTTCCCTCCAGCTCAGGCTATCCTGTAATCCATCCTAGGGTTTGTTTGCCCAGTTCTCACTCCCTGCCCCACAGAGGATTCCAGCCCCTCCTCAGGAGCTGTCCCACAGGTGCCCAAATCAGTTTCTTATCTGGCTGAATCCCAGGAGGTGCCAAGTGGATCGGGAAGCAATGGACACTCAACTTCCCCACAAGGACAGGCACACATCCTTTCAAATCTTACACAAACCATGGAATCCTTGTTTTCCCCTGCAAGTGGGCAGGCTCAGTGAGCCCCACTGTGCTCTCCCAGCCCCTGGCCACTCTAGCAGGGCCTTGGCTGTGCTCCAACACTCGATACAGCTCTGCCACCAGAGCCCAGAATACACCTGAACCTGCACCAGCTCAATACCCAGTTCAAGTGGATAATATCATTGTCTATTTAATCCTCCTTTAGGAATTATCAGGCTTTGAAACTACAGTGGAAAGGCTGAGAGCGTATCCGTGTATGATCCTGCCTGACATTTACTTTGATTTTACTGCAAATAGTTTTGAATAACAGAAAGCACCAGGAATTTCTCCTTACTCCGTGGAGCATTTCAGCACAGCAGCTTTTCTCTGCTTCCTGTGTTCTCTTTCTCTCTCTCCATTTTAAGCATCAATCAGCTGTGTATTTATGACACTCTGTGGGCTGAAATCACCCAGCAGCAGCAAACACATCCAAGCTGAGTTAAAGGTTAGTGGCAACAAGAGCATACCCAAGCCTGCTCCATTCACATCCTGACACAAACGCTGAAAAGGAGGAAAAGCTTAAGGAGGCTGATGTTGCTCACTGCTAAAAGGTGGAATAAGGAATTGATTCCTTACCCAACAGGCTGCATTTGCTTTGAACGCTTTGATTTGGTTCACACACCAACCTCAGGATTATTGATGCCTCCCAAAGCAGGGCTGGGCATTGCCAGGCTAAGGGGCTGATGTTCCCTGGCAGCAGCTCCACATGGAACAACACCTGCAGGACTGAATCCTGTGAACTCTGCCCACGGGGGACAGGGGGTTCTGATCCCTGGAAATGGGGGAAGGGGACTGGGAAGTCATTTCTTACAACAGGAGGGTCACTGCCAGCTCCTCCAGGGGATGATCCAGGAATCCTGCCGGGCCAGGAGGAGGAATGGTGTGTTTGGGGGGACGAATGGTGTGTTTGGGGGAGGAATGGTGTGTTTGGGGGGATTCCCCACACCTCGCATTCAGACCCCATCCCAGAAACCCAATGCAGGGTCATACACCACCTGGCCACAGCCACTGCCTGACCTGGCTGCTCACCTGTGCAGGCTGTGCTCATCCCTGTCCTGCCCTCAGGACACCTCAAAGGCTTTGCAGGGGGAAGGAAAAGGCACTTTCTGGAAATTGCCTCCTCAGCCTAAAAAACCAACCCTCTACAAGCCACCAGTGCTCAGCCCTCCCACACTGGAATGCCCAGCCTGGGGCTCTTTGTTTGGTTCCATCCCAGGCTAGGATCTAAGGTCAGCACCAAGTTTTGGATGAGATAATTTTCCTGCAATCTCACTGTATCCCAGCAGGAGCAAAGCCCTGTTTTATGGCACAAAGGCCACAGAGGGGCTCTCTGAACCTGCCCCAAGCATTCCCAAGATCAGATCAGACAACAGCCAGGGCAGGGCTGCCTGTCAGTGATGGCAGGTGGAGATCAGCTGGGAAGGAGTTGTTAATCCACACAGGGTGGGAGAAAATCCCTCCAGAAAGGACACTGAAGAGAGTCCCATGACAACAGCTCTCACTGTGACACCCCTGAAAATGCAGCACAAGCCTTACCAGCTGTGGGTTGGTGCCATTGGAAAGAATATCCAGTAAATCTGCAGAAGAAATGAAGTAAAACCTGGGGAAAGCCAACCTTTTCATGTCCAAATATTCAGCCAAAGCCTTCTCACACAGAGACAACCTGGGGAGACAAAGCAGAGCCCAGGACATGTGGGTGAATACCCTGCCATGCTTTGTGCTGCCCTTCTCAGGCAGGTTCTGCCCACCATGGGGAAATGCCGGGCATGAGCTGAGCCTGCAGGCTGCTCCTTCCCACAGCCCTGAACAGACCCACAAAGCACAAGGGAACTCACAGCTCACTCTACTCCAGGGTCAAACACCCAGGAGTCAGGGCAGCCTGATGAAACAACAGAAGCACAAGTGGAAGAAGAGGTTGGAAAGGTTTGCAGTCTGACCCCACTGCTTTAGACAAGCTCATAGCTGCCACAGGTGGTGGCATCCACTGGGATGAACATTTCCAGAACTGCTTTTATTCTAATGAGCCACATTTTAAAGTCTGATTCCAACCAACTCAGCTTTTTGTGTTTGCAAAGCATGAAAGGAAAGTTGTTTGCTCCGATCTAAAATGAATCTTGCAGTGTTCACATGCTAAACTGCTGCTGAGCTTACAAAGTTCCTAAATAACATTCTCTGTGAGGAACATTGGCCTTGTTCGATTGAAAATAAAATCAAATCCTTATTTGAAATGGAGAACTGCTACTGCCACAACAGCTTAGCATGGACTTTGAAGTGGTTTTTAGGCAGATTCATATGTTAAGTGAGAAGTGTCTCCATTCCAGGGCACTCAGGTCTGTCTCAGGGAGCTGTGTGATGCCTCAAGGGTACACAGGGATAATTTTGTAAATTAAATGGGCTCAGCTCTGCTTTGTTTGATCACAAAATCACAGAAGGATTTGGGTTGGAAGGGAGCTCAAAGCCCAACCTGTCTCAGGCTGCTCCCAGCCCTGTCCAACCTGGCCTTGGGCACTGCCAGGGATGCAGTGGCAGCCCCAGCTGCTCTGGGCAACCTGTGCCAGGGCCTGCCCACCCTTCCAGGGTGATGGGTCACAAATACAGAAACTTGAGAAAGATCAGAAAAGCTAGAGATTTGTGACTACAGAGGAAACAGAGCCTCAGAAAAAGCCTCAGAGCACAGGTTCAGCTTCTCATGGCTGATTCCAGCCTCTGACAAAACCCTGGGACTGATGCTCTACCTACCTACTCTGGATGTCCTCCAGCTGCTGGGACAGACCTGCTCTATTGGTGGCTTCAACCACATTTGGGGTTTTCTGAACTTCATTGGCCAGTTCTTTAAAATCCACATCAATGCCTTCAAAACGTTTGGAGTCCTACAAAGGGATACAAAGGTCACAGCAATGTTCTCTTGATGTGCTGAGAGATCCCAGCCTCTGAGAGCAGTGAAAGTCTTGCTCCTGCTCAGCATGGCTGTGAGCCTGGAATAACACTGGGAGCTGGGCTGGAGGCACCTGAGGAGCTCCCCAGAGCAGTAGCAGGAGAAAAGCTGATCTCCCCCAGAACCAGAGTGACAGGACAAGGAGGGAAAGCTGCCAGGGCCACCTCTGTTTGATGATTCACAGTGTCTGAGCAATGATCTCAGTCCTCTCCCCTCTGAAGGAAGAGGGAAGAGGACTGAGCTCTGAAGGAAGGCAGCAGCTCTCACTCAGCAACCAAGAACTGTGTTTGCCAGCACCCAGGAATTCTGTGTTTGCCATGAAGTGCTACAAGGGAGATCAGCCCCTCAGCACAGTTCAAGCACAAAAACATCCTTGGAGGAACAATCAGAGCACTGAGGGAGCCTCCAGAGGAGCAAGGCAGCAGGAGAACAGCCCTGCTTTTGGGGATTTGGCACTACAGATAACCCCATTTAATAATGGAGCCTCTTCTTCAACACTTCCCAAGCAGGAATTTGGGATTTGGGGGCTCGTACCTGGGGCAGCTGTGCCCTGATGTCTTCTGAGCCTATGAAAATGCTCTCCAGGTGAGACCACGTGCGCTGCACCTCGAACCAGAGGGAGATGACGGAGTCAGCAGTGGAGAGCTTCCTCTGCCAGGCAGACACCTCCTCCAGGAAGAAGGCAATATACTTGGAGGACATCAAATTCTGCAGCTGCACCTGGTTGTCCTCTAGAGTTTCAACGAGCTCCTCATCTGACTTCAGCAAGGGGGTGTGGGTGCGAGGGTGAGGCTCGTACTGGAACTCCCTGGAGCTCCAGGTCACCCTCAGCTCCTTCAGCACCTTCTCCATGCTCATTTCTCTCACGGCTTTGTCCACAATGCTGTGGACTTCCCCCTCAAATTCATGCAGGTTGAGCTTGAGGAGGTCGGCCAGGGTGGTGTCCGAGTCCATCACAAACCTCACGCCCGTCACCTGCATCAGCTGGTTCCAGTGCCTCTCCCTGATGGCAGGATTTTGAAGTTCTGCCACAGCCTTGAGGGCTGTCAGCATGTTTTTCACCTTGCTGTCCAGCCCACTGAAAGCATCCCACGCCCTCATTTCCTTGTCCAAATTTCGAATCTCTCTTGCAAACTTCTTGCACTCCAGGTCCATGTTCTCCACATTAATGTCCACCCATCTGGTGGTCTGCCAGTCTTCAAGGCTGGTGTTCACCAAGGAGATCATGTCCCAGAGCTCTTTGAGCAGACACAACTCCTTCCTGCACTGCTTCAGCTGCTTATACTCTGGCACCATAACTTCAAACAGACCAGCTGATTCATAAATCGAGGTCATGGCTGACTCCATCTGTTTAATCTCCATGTGCTTTGCATCCAGCAGTTGATAAGGCTTTTCAGTGTCAAACCTAGAAATAAACATTTATTCTTCATAAGTGACACTGTAACAACTTCTAAAGGACCAATAAAACAAACAAAGCCTCTGAGAGCCACGGGAGAGATGAAAGGTCTCTACTACACCCTGATGGCTGAGCCACATGGCACTGCTGACACCACCCAAACCCAACCTCTTCCCAGGCACTGCAGGCACAGCAGGGAGGACAGCTGTGCATCACCAGGACATGCAGGTGATGCCTTAAGATTTCAGCACCTGTGCCTTTGATTTTAGCCCATGGAAACAATTACCAACTTTGTGGGAAGAGTTACAAGCCACAAGAGTTTGAGTAGAATGATAGTGAATTTGTCAGAGGGTGAAAATGTAGAATTTTAAAGTTTTTAAAATGGGAGTTCAGGAGGCAAGATGGAGGAATCTAGACATGTCCAGTCTTTCTCATTCTTCTTCTTGTCCTCCATCTTCTGCTGTGATAGTAGCACTTTTAGATTAGTTTAAAGACAAGCTGTCTAACATAAGTGATAAGTATTTAAAAATTATTATAAATAAAGTACATGTAGTTTTTAAAAAGATAACGCCGCCCTGAGGGCTCTCAGTATGCCTCAACCTGACCAGCTGAACAAATCTCTGCAGATCCAAAAAGCGTGTATTCAATAAGAGAAAATAAACAACCTTGAGTACCAAAGCCAAAGAATCCTGACTTCTCCTTCAAGCGTGGGGCTGGGAAAAAAACCTTTAACACCTCAAAAGCCATTCCAACAACAACAAACCTGAGACAGGCTAAACAACCCCAGCTCCTTCAAATGTTCCTGAGGCTGGTTGGTGCTGGGAGAGCTGTACCTGAAGGGAGCCTCCCTGACGAAGCGCTCTCGGAGCCGCTGCTGCTGGGCATCGAAGGCGGCGCAGCTCTGGCGCAGCGCGGTCACCTCGGCGGCCTGCAGAGGGGCCACCTGCTGCTTCACGGCCACAGCCAGCTTCTTCACCTGGCCCCACTTCTCTGGCAGCTCCTGCGGGCACAGTGGCACTGGTGGGTCACCCTGACACAGGGGACTAGCACTGACCCCATGGTGCACAACGGCACTGCTGGGTCACCCTAACATGGGAGTAGCACTGACCCCACCATGTAGAAGGTGTAATTAGCACTGCATGATTAGCACTGACTCCATGATGCAGAAAGCTGAACTGTGGTGGTGTTTGAGGGTCCCCAGGATGAGAGAAGAGATGAGAATCTTGACTCAATGTTTTAGAAGACTGGTATTATATTTTATATTCTATTTGATTATACTATATTGTACTATAGTATATTGTATGTTATACTATGTTTTATATTGTATTGTATAATATTGTATTGTAGTATATTGTAGTGTAGTGTATTGTATTAGCTATACTATGTTATATTATATTATACTATATTATACTGTACTATATTATATGTTATGCTATGTTATGCTATATGTTATAAATGCTATACTAAAGCTATACTAAAGTAAGAGAAAGGAGATACCATAAGGTTAGAAAAGAATGGATAATAAAATCTCGTGACAAACTCAGAGTCCGACGCAGCTGGCCGTGATTGGCCATTAATTAAAAACACTTCACATCTGGATAAACAATTCTCCAAATCACATTCCTAAGGAGTAAAACATGGGAAAACTGAAGCTTCCCAGCTTCCTAGGAGAAGAAATCCTGGCAAAAGGATTTTTCATAAAATATGTCAGTGACACTGAGCCATTGCTTTATTCTTCTATATTATATACTTACTCTATTCTTAAGAAGTCCATAACCCCCCTTCTAGCCTGCCTGATAGAGCTTTGACCTCATTGGTCAACCTCTAAATGTGGTATTCACATTTTCTGAAAAATCTCTTTGCTCAGGACTTTTCTCCTGGGAAACTGAGAAGCTTCAGAAAAAAGGAAAACAATTATTATCTTATTTGTTTCTCTTGTGTTTTGCTTGTCTAGAATGTGTTTAGGGATTTTTTACTCACAAGTAATTGTTTCATTAGATTCTGGTCAATGAGTGAAAACAACTCACACCCAATCAGGGCCAAACTGTGTCAGGACTCTTTCTAGAGTCACGAATTTTCATTATTATCTTTTTAGCATTGTGTAAGTACCCTTTCTGTACACTTTAGTGTAGTTTAGTATAGTATTCTTTAATTTAATATAGTGTCATAAAATAATAAATTAACCTTCTGAAAACATAAAATCAAATACATCATTCCTCCCTCCCACAAAAATCTCAACAAATACAATACACCACCACCCTTTGGTAAACAAATCTCCATAACACATTCCACATTTGCCTAGCAACAGGTGCAGCAAGTGCAGATAAGATTTGTTTTAATTCTTTCTCTGAGCTTTCTCACAGCTTTCCCCAGGGAAAATGCCTGGGAAGATTTGTGTTTGCTCTCTGTGGCCAGAGAGCTGCTGCCACACTGCTGGGAGGCAGGAGGGGCTCTGCAGGGTGGGATCTGTTCATGGAAAACCATGGAGCAGGAAAAGCCACTGATCCCATGGCTGAAACTGCAAGGGAGAGAGGTTGGGATGGCCCAAGTTATGCCTGGGGGAGTTTAGATTGGATATGAAGAAAAACATTCACAGGAAGGGTTGTAAAGCATCAGAAGAGGTTGCCCAGGGCAGGGTGGAGTCACCATCCCTGGAAGTATTCAAAACCCTGTGGATGTGGCACCTGGGGATGTGGTTTACTGGTGATCACAGTTGTGGTGCTGGGTAGATGGTGAGATTTTATCATCTTAAAAGGTGTTTCCCAACCTTGTCAATTCCATGATTGCCAAGGGCTCTGCTGTCCCTAGGTCCCCTCCTCTCCATGGGCTGTGCAAGCCCACAGGAAAGATTCTAGGTTTCCCTCCATCCCAGCTCACACTCTTGAGGAGATTAATGGAAACCCACCACGGAAAGAAGGGAAGGAGCTGCAGGCAGCTCTGAGACAGCAGAGATGGCCAAGGCAGGGCCAGCTCCTCCTGAGGAGTCCCCTCCTGGCATTTTTCACCAGTCTCAGCAGAAATCACCATCCATGACCATGCACAGAGCTGCCTCCTTCTCTTCCTCCCAAGCAGCAGCTCCAGCCCATCCATCTCCAGGGAGGGAGAGGAGCCTGGAGGAGCTTCTGCTTTTCCCACTCCACACAGGAGGGAATGAATCATTCACACACAAGCGTTGCTGTCACTCGCCAGGAAGAACAATTCTTTGGCTGTCTCCTGCATCTGGATGGCTGCTCCACACCCTCATTTCTTCTATCAGCAAAGCAAATCTGGTATTTGGAGGTATTTGCACAAGCAGGAACACACCAGCAGCTCCCAGGCAAGGGGATTTAGTAGGGCTGGGCTCCCCACAGGACTAGGTTTTATGGTGGTTGAAGACACAGCTGGCAGGGCTTGTCTCTGTCCCCCAACACTCACCATCTCTTGCAACCCTCATCTCTTGGTCCCCTTTGCAGAAAAGAAAGGAATTCCCAAAGAACTGACTCATAAGAGCCAGATGTGGAAAGATGCCAAAATATTTTCATAACTTGCTCCCAGGGATGCCCTCTGGGTAAAGCAGACCTGGTGGTCTCGACCCAGAGGAGAACTGAAGTCCTGTGGGAAGGCAGCTCCTCTGCCAACATTATCCTCCCCATCTCCATAGCTGCCAAGAACCAGCTTATTTAAAAATAATTATAATTCAACCTAATTAACAGATGGATTTGAAAATGCATTAATTTTTTTTCAAGAGCAATCGCTGGGAGTTGGAGCAGGCAATTCCATGTTTTTCACACATAACAAAAGGCTTAATCTCTGCTTTAAAAGAAAAAAATCTCAACATTTAGAGCTACTAAGGCAAATCCTGCAATAGCAAAACGCTGCCCACTGAGGCCCTCTAATGACAGGGAGAGGACTTTGAGTATGCCTGGGATGCTCCCCCACTCCTGCCCCCTTTACCTTCTGCTCCTGGGCAAACTGCTGTGCCCACCACAAGCCCTCACCCACCTCCAGCTGCTGGTGAATTTCCTCAGGCAGCTGCTGCTCATAGGCCCTCAGCAGCTCAATGGTCTCCTTCAGAGGCTCAAACATGGCATCAGTGGCACTGTGACGTTCCTTCACAGCCAGCAGGTGACCCATGACCTCCACCAAGCCACTGTAGTCACCTTGCTCCACCTTTCTGCTCAAACCCCTCTCGGCAGTTTGGATGAACTCGTCCAGGTCAGCCAAGCTGCAGAGCACAAACCAAGGGAGGAAGCACAGGATGAGAGCGGCTCCTCTGGAATTATTATTCTTCCAGCTCCTCTGGAGTTAATATCCAGCCTCAGAACTGGAATTCCAGCTCAAAGGTATCCCTGGATATGGTACAGGTTCCTTCAAGATTGGGACTTCTCAAGTTGGAGAGAGAGTACCTGAACAGAGACAGGGAGCTCAGGAGGGGCTGTTTGAGAGCACAGATTTTACTGTCCCAGTTTTACTGGGAGAGTGGGGAGACACCAGCATGGGGTGCCCAGAGAAGCTGGGGCTGCCCCTGGATCCCTGGAAATGTCCAAGGCCAGGCTGAATAGGGCTTGGAGCACCTGGGACAGTGCAAGTTGTCCCTGCCATGGCAGGGGTGGCACTGGGTGGGCTCTAAGATCCCTTCCAACCCAAACCTTTCTGGGATTCTGTGACAGTTTTCACCCCATCTCTTCCACTATGAGAATCCAAGCTCCCCAGGTGAACCTGAGATGTTTCAAAGCTGTAACAAACAGGGCTTGTCTTTGCTGCACTGCCTCTCTTCACAGGGCAGCTCCCTCCTGCAGGTGATGCAAATTCACAGCAGCTCAGAAAAGCAACTGTACATTTTTGGGAGGAAAAAATCCCTCCAGGTCTTTAAAATTAAGATCCCTGTCTCTCAAAGCCCTTGAGCCATAAACTATCACAGACAGGAAAGTCTTTGGGACACATTTCTTCACCTGCTTTTTAACCTCACCAGATACTGGGCACTTTGAGCAGAAGAGCACTGGGCTCCTGGGTCTCAAAACACTTCTTAAGTGCCTGCTTAAATTCTCTGGATGCTGCTGGGCCTAAAAGTATCCTTAAATACTTCACCTAATAAAGACTAAACTGCTGACTCAGGGACTCTCAATAACAGCTCCTAAATGCTCATTCTCTGCCACACTAAACCTCTTTGCAAAGAAATTATCAGACAGATTTATGGTGCTGAAAAGCACACCAGAGATCACATCACCACCCCACGCAGTGGCCTCCTCTTCAGATGTCTGTGAGCACTCCCCTGGGAACACCCACAACCTAGGATAACCTTCAGTTGTGACCAATAAATCACCCAGGGCATTGTCCTGCACAAATCTGAGCAGCTCTTCAGGGCAAGAAACACCTGGTAATGAAAAAGTTGGAGCCCAAACTGCTCCATGACACCTCCCCATGACTGCTCATGCCAGGCTGCCTGAATCATGGGCTGTTAGAAACCTCACAACATTAATGCAGATTTACTGATGGCCACCACCAAATCCAGTAATGCAAGCCCAGTGCCCTGCAGAGATGGGATTATTTTGCTTGGGAGGAGCAAAATACACACCTTGAGCAAACACAAACTGTCTAACACCCTACATGAGGTCCCAGGGATGTCAGGGGTACCAAGGGATGCCACAACTCCCAGCTCACACACAAGCACAGACCAGGGCATGGAAGACAGTGCCGGGGTGTAGCTGTCATGCAGCATGAGCCCTTTTCTTGCTCCTGTATTAGCTCTGGAGGTTGTCACAGCTCTGAGGCTGCCAGAGCTCCAGGAGTGTTTGGACAATGCTCCCAGGGATGCCCAGGGTGGGATTGCTTGGGTGTCTGTGCAGGGCCAGGAGCTGCACTGGATGGTCTTTGTGGATCCCTTCCAACCCTGAGTATGTCATGATTCTCCATCCTTTGGCCATGAGTGGGAAATGACACAGCCCAACCAAGACAAGAGAAATTCCATGATCAGAGGCAGAACCAACCCTCACCTGTGTGTGACGTGGTCCAGGAGGTGCTGCTTGAACACCAAGCTCCACCTTTTAATCTCGTTGAGCAAGGCTGCCTTGAAGGGCCGCACATCCAGCCTCAGCCAGCCCTGGAAGGTGCAGAGGGGCTGCATTCGAGCCACCTCCTCGTAGAGCTGCTCGTAGGAGCCCAGCTGCTCCCTGAACTGCTGCAGTGTGGCCGGTGCCTCGGGGAGCCCCTCTTCAGTGTCTGCAGGTGTAGGGACATGGAGATGGTGGCCCAGCTCCCTGTTGTCCTGCAGCAGTAGGGGGTGGCCCAGGTCCCTCCTGTCCTGCAGCAGGAGGTGGCAGAAGCGCCGCTCCAGCCCCGCGCGGTGC